AACGAGCAAGTCAGGAGGAGGAGAGAGAGTGAGGGGAGAGGAGATAGGAGGCGACGGCTGAAGCTGCAGGCACACGGGCAACAGGAGGCACACTGGCACAGCGGCTACCGGAACAGCGCTCCGGACTACTGGAGTAACTGGCCCCGCGGCTCAAGTAGCGGCAGACGGGCAACGGACCCACGGGCGGCTGGCACAGCTGGCTACGACTGGGCTACCAGGACAGCGCCCCGGACTACAGGTGCTGCGAACGACAAACTGACAACCTCCACTCAACCTTCCGCACACAGTCCCACCCCCCTGATGCACACCCACTGCTACACCGCTAGCTGCACTCCCACGCACCCCCCTTAAACCCTAAACCCGAGTCTCCCACACAACCACCCCCCTCAGCGACAGCTGCAGCAGTGGGAGACGAAGGAGGAGGAGGAGCAAAGGGAGGAAGGCACACCGATCACCCCCATACCCGCCACCCCACAGCTCGCGGCCCCCGAAGGAGCCGCGACGGGCGACGGGAAATGGCAGGGGGAGGGTGGGGGGGGGGGGGGGGGGGGGGGGGGGGGGGGGGGGGGAGGCGGGGTGGTGAAAGGGACCCACCACGGGCCTGGTTGGAGGGCGGGGCCGCGACAAGGGGCGGGGCCGCATCGAGGGGCGGGGCCGCGACACAGGGCGGGGCCGCGACGTAGGGCGGGGCCGCGACGGTCGGGGCGGGGCCGCGACGTAGGGCGGGGCCGCTTCGAGGGGCGGGGCCGCGACACAGGGCGGGGCCGCGACGTAGGGCGGGGCCGTGACGGTCGGGGCGGGGCCGCGACGTAGGGCGGGGCCGCGACTGTAGGGCGGGGCCGCGACGATGGTCCCCGTCGCCCGTCGCGACGCCTCCAGAAGGCGACGCGGCGACCGACGGGGCAGAAGCCCGCCGCGCGCCTCGGGGCGCACAGCGGGCAGAGAACCGCCGCGCGCCTCGGGGCGCACGGCGGGCAGAAAACCGCCGCGCGCCTCGGGGCGCACGGCGGGCAGAAAACCGCCGCGCGCCTCGGGGCGCACGGCGGGAGGAAAAAGTAGCAGCGGAAGCAAGGTGGTAACCCACCCACAGGATCGATCCAAGGGGATCGACCTGCTCTGATAGCATGACAAAAGTTAGAAGAAGAAAGAGGCATGAACTAGCAGAAATGGGGATACAAATAGCAAACCCTAGAAGGGTTGTACTCGCTATAGAGCACCCCACTACAGGCTAGAACATAAGAAGAATATTCTGACATTATCTGGGTCGGCCTCAGAGTCCGACTCAGGTTCCTCTATGTTGTTGCAGAAGAATCCGTCTGCTACAATTTCATCATCCACGTCGACCTCATCGCCCTCGAGATCGTCTCGCCTGTGTCGCAGGCAGAGCTTGTCCTGGGACCCATCCAAGGCGTTGCTGATGCCGCAGGTGAGGAACGCCCGTTGAATAAGCTCCTTAGGCATGAAATTCCAGGCCCCCGAGATCCACTTCAGCGTCAGCTCGCCAGGAGGCTTCTTGATGTTGCCTGCTACGCAAATCCAGAAATAGAGTCAGCACGGGTGAAATAAATAAAAGCATAAACAGAGAGGCTGCACATCTCACCTTTCTTCGTCAAGATGTCGACCCCCTCACGCTCAAACCACTCCTGGTAGAGCTGGCGAATGGCGGCCTTGAAGGAGCGGTTAACCGCAACGTCGAGGGGTTGAATCTCCGAGGTGCAGCCAACAGGGATAATCCCAGGGACCAGGTTGAGCTCGCCAAACTTCTTCTTCACCTCCGGGGTCAGGTGCCCGCGGTACGAATCGAGGACGAGCAGAGCCTTGCGGGGACGGACTCCAAACTTGGGGTTGATGTACGGCTTCAGCGCCCCGTCCAGCCACTCGATGACCCCGTCCGCGTCCATCCAACTGTTGGGATGGACCCCCACGTGGATATCTGCACAACATCAAAATCACGATGTTAGTTACCGTACGATTTTTACCTGACATGAACATGCCACCGCGTAATCGACGTGTGCTTCATACCTGAAGGAAAATCTCCTTTGGGGATGGTCTTCCTTTTGAAGAAGACCCACGGCTTCAACTTCTCCCCGCTGGCGGTGCGGGCGAGCATCACGGTAACCCGCTCTTTCTGGTAGCCGCCGCTGCGGACGGGCACGGAGCGCGAGCCAACCTCTTCAACGGTGCGTTCGGATGACATCTCGAGCCAGAGGGGCGTCTGGTCCGCGTTTAAGATCCACGGCAGGTCGATCTTGTACTGGCGTCGGGAGTGACGCACGTACGTCCAGAAGTTCTTGACATCAGTCCCGCAGTCTGGGACACGGGATGGGAGGAATAGAAAGCACAAACACAGAGTGAGAGCCGTGAATAGACGGTTCATACAAACAACAACACCACCAAATAACTCACTTGACGAGAGCTTCTGGCCGACCCGGGTCTTCGCTCTGGTCATCAGGTTCCAGCGGCGGCGAAAGCACTGAGTCCACCGCTGAGAGCCAGCCCACTTTTCACCTGGGTGTAACTCTTTCATCACCTCGTGCGACCACTTCTGCAATCGTGCGATCAAGACGGCGAGGCACTTCTTGCGGTGGGCGAGAAACCTCCGGTACACCTCCACTTCGATGTCGTGATACCACGAGCTCCTTCCACGGCCGTGCAGGCAACAGCGTGCACCGTGCGCGCCCTCAAGCTCAGCCTTGCGGTTCTTCCACTTTGTGAGACACCTTCGGGAGATGCCGGATTCGCGAGACATGCGCCGCACACTCATCTCTCCGGCTTCGAGCTTCAGAATCCATTGCAGCTTCTCATGCGAGGTGTAGGAATTGCGCCTGTGCTTTGTGGGCTTGTGCCTGGGGAGGGAGGACAGGCATCACGATTATCGCGAGATGGGTGGGGCCTTTTTTTATTCGGAGGGGGGAAGGAGGGTATTGGAAGGTGCTCGGGGAGACCGTCAGCAGCCCAGAACTCCACGTCGTCCTCTGCACCGGTTGCGGATTCGTCCAACGTGCAATCAGCCGGCGCTCCCCACCGTGGCTCCGGTGCGGAGGAAGATCCTTCGCTGCCGCTGCGTTCAGGCTCAGACATGAAGGCGTCGAACGCCGAGTCGCCAGGCGGGAGGAGAAGCTGCAGAACCCCCTGTCGCAAAACACCAACAGCAAGCGGGTCAGGAGGGGCCAGAGGAACGGGAGGAATAGAAGGCGCCGGGGGAGCGGGAGGGGTAGGAGGCGTAGGAGGAGTGGGAGGAACGGGAGGCACTACTGGTTGTGGTGGAGGGACGGGCACAGGGCGCGACTGCCATTGAGAGTAGTCACGGGTGTCTCTGCGGGTACTTTCTCTAGCAGCAGGTTGGCAGCGGAACAAAAAATGCGTGCCTGGAAGGCCCGCCATGGCCACGACAGGCCAAACATGTCAAAATCATATGCTATAGTCTGTGTAGGCTGTAGTGGGGTAGACAATATGGGGTACAACACTTATAGGTTTTCCTACTTGTACCCACATGCTTGCTAGTTCATTTCATTCCTCATTTCCTCATTGCTAGGAACGCTTCCTAGGGCCCACCACTGAAAAAAAAAAAAAAAAAAAAAAAAAAAAAAAAATCTGACCGGAGCGCGAGTCGCCCCTGCCCAAGGCGCGCCCCGTGGGCCGCCCCCTCGTCGCGTCCCCTGCCCTTAGCGGCCCGTCGCGCCCTTCTAGAGGCCCCTCTCACGGCCCCTCGCGCCACCCCTAGCAGCCCCGTCGCCGCCCTTCGCGGCCCGTCGCCGCCCCTCGCGGCCCCGTCGCCGCCCTTAGCGGCCCCGCCGCCGCCCCTCGCGGCTCAGTTTCCGCCTCTCGTGGCCCCGTCGCCGCCCGTTACGGCCCTGTCGCCGCCCTTCGCGGCCCCGTCGCCGCCCCTATTGGCCCTGACGCCGCCCTTCACGGCCCCGTTGCCGCCCCTAGCGGCCCCGTCGCCGCCCTTCGCGACCCCGTCGCCGCCCCTATCGGCCCCGTCGCCGCCCTTCGAGGCCCCTCGCGGCCCCTTTCGCGATCGCGTCGCCGCCCCTTCTTGGCCCCGTCGCCGCCCGTCGCGGCCCCGTCGCCGCCCCTAGCAGCCACGTCGCCGCCCTTCTTGGCCCCTCGCGGCCCCTTCGCGGCCCCGTCGCCGCCCCTAGCGGCCACGTCGCCACCCTTCGAGGCCCCTCGCCGCCCCTTCTCGGCCCCGTCGCTGCCCTTCGTGGCCCCGTCGCAACCCTTCCCAGCCCCTTCTCGGCTCCTCCGCCACCACCAGCAGCCGCCGCCGCCGCCAGCACCAGCCGACAGCAGCAGACGCCGCCGACAGCAGCGGCGGCCGCCACCAGCAGCAGCCGTCGTCGCCGACAGCCGCGAATGCCGCCGCCACTGACAGCAGGATCTGCCGCCGCGGTCGCGGCTCTGTCCCTGCCAACGCGCCTCGGCCCTGCCCCACCGCCTGCCGGCCCCTACCTACCAGCCCTGGTGAGAGCACTGCCGAGCCACACTTGCTACTGCTGCCCCTAGCCTGCTGCCACTACTGTCATGGCTACCCCTAGCGTTCTAGTCTTTGATGCTGAGGGTCGGGCTGTTGACTTTGAGGTCGGGGTCGATGATTTATAGCTTTTCCTACAGTGCGATAGGAAGGACGGTCTCTCACTGTTCGATCTCACGTCTGGCGCCTCTGCTGCCCCTGCTGCTGATGCTGACAGCACTGTTCGCTAACAGTGAGCCACACGCGATGCTGCTGCCCGTCTTGTTGTGCGTAGTCACTTACCGTCCACTGAGCCCGCGCACTATAGTCAGTACAAGAGTGCTAAGACCTTGTACGATGCTGTAGTTGCACGCTACTCTTCCCCTGCCACTGCTGCCCTTAGCCGCCTCATGCTGCCGTACCTGTTTCCTGACCTCGCCGCCTTTCCCACAGTCGCTGACCTCATTACGCACCTTCGCACTAGTGACACCCGCTACCGCGCTGCACTTCCTGCTGAGTTCTGCGCCAAGACCCCCCCCCCCCCATGTACATCACCCTCTACTACATAGTCACCCGGCTCCCTGACTCCCTTCGCTCGGTCAAGGACCACTTCCTCTCTGTTTGCCCCACCACACTCACCGTTGACCTCCTCGAGGAGCGCCTCCTGGCAGCTGAGAAGAGTATAGTCGCTGTAGGAGCCTCTCGTGGTGACCCTCGTGCCCCCTTCTTTGAGGGGTGCTCCCCCTCCCCCCTTTTTCCCTCTGTTGCCTCTGCTGCTACCGTCGACTTCGTTGGCATCGAGTCGGTCGGCGCTGCGTCTGCCCCTTGCGGGAGACGCCACACCGGCAAGGGCAAGGGGGGCAAGGGCGCAGGAGGGGCTGGCGGGGGCGGTGGAGGTGGGGTGGAGGCGGCGGAGGGAGTGAGGGTGGCAGTGGGAGTGGTGGCGGGGGTGGGGGCTTCGGTGGCGGCGGTGGAGGCAGAGGCGGCGGCTGTGGTGGCGGTGGGAGCGAAGGAGGAGGCGGAGGCGGCGGTGGCGGAGGTGGCGGCGGCGGAGGTGGAGCTGGTCGGGGTGGCTCTGCGCAGCAGGGCGGCTTCGGTGGTGGTCAGCGCCAGCAGCACCAGCGCACTCGTGAGACCTCGCCCCCCCAGCAGCTTCGTGAGTGGTACGCTGCGCGTCAGCGCGGTGGGGGTGCTGGTCCTTGTGCCTACGTCCTGCGTACCGGCGACCGCACTGGTGAGCCGTGCGGTGGCCCGCACACGACCCAGCGCTGCTTCGGCCGCTTGACGGACGCTTGGCGTCTCCAGTTCCCTGACGCCACTAAGATCCCCCGCTGGGGCGAGCTGCTTAGGTTGGGGGTTGCTATCTTTGATCTAGATTATGATGCCATTCTTGCTGCCATGTCTGTTGTGTCGACTAGTGATGAGGGTGACTGTTACCTGTGTGTTCCGCCTGACCCGGGCATTGAGGCTGCTGCTCTAGGTGCTGGTGAGGCTGCTGCTCTAGGTGCTAGAGCGTCTGCTGCCCCAGATGCTGGTGAGTCTGCTCTCTCAGGCACCATGTCAGCTCAGGCCTTACACACCTTCACCCTTGACTCGGGTGCTTCCCGCTCCTTCTTTCGAGATCGCACCATGCTTACGCCGCTCAGTCGGCCAGTTGCGGTCTCCCTGACGGACCCCTCTAGAGGTCCTGTCCTTACCCACTTCTCCACTATCTTACCGTGCCCAACGGCCCCCTCTGGCACCCTGTCAGGTCTCTAACTCCCCTCGTTCTCAACGAACTTGGTGAGTGGTGCTGATCTACAGGATGGGGGGGTTGACCAGTTCACTCCTGCGAGTAAGCGGGTGACCCACTATACGGGTGCTCGGACGAGCTGACACTTGGCCAAGTTTACCCGTCAGCCCGGGTCGAGCCTGTACACACTGAGTACTGAGTCTCCTCCGGTTGCTGAGTCTGGTCAGGTAGCTGCGTCGGGTTAGGTGTTTGCTGCAGCGTCCAGGTCTCGTCCTGAGTCTGCTCCCTGCTCGTGTCGTCTCCTGACCCACCAGACTCTCCTCTGGCACCACCGCCTTGGTCACCCATCCCTGCATTGTCTCCGGGGCCTGCCCGTATCTGCGTTCCCTGCGTCAAGGGGCAGCAGCGCGCCGCCCCTCACTCCTCCGAGTTTCCTCCGACGGAGGCTCCGCTGTAGACTCTTCACATGGACGTGTGGGGCCCCGCCCGCGTCCGTGGCCAGGGTCACGAGCGTTACTTCCTGTTGGTGGTTGACGAATACTCGCGTTACACCACAGTGTTCCCCTTGCGCAACAAGGGTGACGTCACTGAGGTGTTGATGGACTGGATCCGCGCAGCTCATCTCCAGCTCAAAGAGAGTTTCGGCTCGGACTTTCCTCTTCTGCGTCTGCACTCTGACAGAGGCGGGGAGTTTTCCTCTGCCCTTCTGGGAGCCTTCTGTCGTGCACAAGGCATCCGCAAGACCTTCAAGCTTCCGGCCTCTCCACAGAAAAACGGGATTGCTCAGCGCCGCATCGACATGGTCATGGACGTTGCTGGTACGTCCATCATCCATGCGGTTGCTCCCCATTTTGTGTGGCCGTTTGCGGTTCAGTATGCAGCGCATCAGATCAACCTTCAGCCCCGGGTCTCCTTGCCAGAGACCTCCCCCACCTTGCGGTGGACGGGGAAGGTTGGCGATGCGTCTGCGTTTCGTGTCTGGGGATCTCGGGCGTTTGTCCGCGACTTGTCTCCGGACAAGCTGTCCCCCCGTGCTGTTCCCTGTGTCTTCCTTGGCTTCCCCACTGACGCGCCTGGTTGGCAGTTTAACCACCCCACTTCGCGGCGTGTTCAGTCCTCCTAGGACGTCACGTTTGACGATTGGTGCCTTACTACCATCTCTTCCCCTACCGCACTGCGCCCCTCCCCCCGGGTAGACCCTCTCCCCCCTTAGGGTCCTGCCCCGTAAGGTGTGTCCCAGATAGACGCAGTCGAGCCTGTCGAGGTAGCAGTTGACTCTGGTGCTTCTAGGGGTGCTGGGCCTAGGGGTGTTGAGTCTTGGGGTGCTGAGTCTGGGGGTGCTGAGCCTAGTGGTGCTGAGCCTGGGGGTGCGGACCCTGAGGGTGCTGAGCCTGGGGGTGCGCAGCCTGGGGGTACGGAGCCTAGGGGTGCTGAGCGTGGGGGTGCGGAGCCTGGGGGTGCTAGGTCTGCTCGTGTGGCCTCTGGCGGTGCTAGGTTTGGGGGCCCTTCGCATGCTTCCTCAAGGCGTGAGCTACCCTCTCCATAGGAGCTGCGCGAGTGGTTTGCCCGGCGTTGGAGCCGTGCTGCTGGAGCTGGAGGTGCTATTGTTGCTGCTGACCCTAGGGTCGGAACTGGAGTTACTGGAGCCACTGGTCCTGGAGGTGCTCGTACAGGCGGTACTAGAGCTGCTAGGACTGGGGGTGCTGCTGGTGCTGCTGGAGGTACTGGAGGTACTGGAGCTACTGGGCCTGGAGGTACTCCTGGTGCTGGAGCTGCTGGCGGTACTGGAGCTGGCGGTCCTGATGGAGTTGGTGATGCTATAGCTGGTGGAGCTAGAGCTGCTGGAGCTGCTGGGGGTGTTGGCGCTGGAGGTGCTGGTGGCGCTGGTGCTTCTGAGGGTGCTGGAGTTGGGGCTGTTGGAGCTGGAGGTGCTGCTGGTGCTGGTGCTGCCGCTGGGGGTGCTGGTGCTGTCCTTGCTGGTTCTGGAGGCGCTGCGCGGCCGCGGCCGTACTTCGTTCCGCTCCTTGAGCAGGTTCTTGGTCTCCCGCCTTCTACTGGTCCTGCTCCTCCCTTAGAGTGTCCACAGCCTGTCCAGTCGCAGTCATAGTTACAGCTCGCCTCCCCCCTGCCTGCTCTTTCTCCCTACACTAGTCCTACTAGAAGTCTTGCTGAGCGTCGTGAGCCTGCGTCTCGTCCTGCGTCGCCTATTCGTGCTACTCGCACTAGTAGTCGTGCTCCGCGTCCGCGTCCTCCTGCGGTCCCGGGAAGACATCAGATGGCACTTCGTCCTTCCACTACTCCTCTGCGTGTCTCGTTTTCGTCTCCTCCAGAGTCCTCTCTTCCTGTTCTTGCTGACCCTGAGTCTCACTCTCTTCGTGCTCCCTGTCCTACTGTCACGCGTCTTCTCGCTACTGTAGTCACTGACCCTTCCTTTGAGTCCACTACTGCGTCTGCCTTAGTTTTCTGAGCTTGTCGACTTTGCTGCGCGCTGTCGTCTAGACTACGCCGCTAGTCTTGTTGCTGAGTCTGAGTCTGTCAGTCCTCCGTCTGTCGGGGGTGAGTGTGCTCTTAGCACAGACGTCCTTGAGGACAGGCACGAGGAGTTCCAGTGTTTTGCTGCTACTTTGCCTCATCTCGTGTCTACGCTGATTGCCCTTGAGGGAGACCTGGATGCACCAGACATCCCGACTTCTCGATCGTATGCTGAGGCGATAGAGGGTCCCTACTCCTCACAGTGGCATTCAGCCATGGACGCAGAGATGGCTTCCTGGAAGTCCACAGGCACCTACGTCAACGAGGTTCCCCCACCTGGGGCGAACATCGTCAGTGGCATGTGGATTTTCAGGGTGAAGCGGCCGCCGGGTTCTCCGCCTGTCTTCAAGGCGCGTTACGTGGCTTGAGGCTTCAATCACCGGCAGGGAGTTGACTACTTTCAGACCTTCTCTCCCACCCCGAAGATGACCACTCTTTGGGTGCTGCTGCACATAGCCGCTCAGCGCGACTACGAGCTTCACTCTATTAACTTCAGCAGAGCTTTCCTGCAGGGCAGCCTGCACGAGGAGATCTGGCTGCGGCGCCCACCTGGCTTCACTGGGTCGTTTCCTCCTAGTACCCAGTAGAGCCTCCGGCGGCCTGTCTACGGTCTCCGCCAGGCACCCCGAGAGTGGCACGACACACTGAGGACTACACTTGCGGCTCTTGGGTTTGCTCCTTCTACACCCAACCTGTCGCTGTTTCTGCGCACCGACACCTCTTTGCCGCCGTTCTACATCCTCGTGTACGTCGACGACTTGGTATTTGCCACTGCTGACACTGCTGGACTCGCCCACGTGAAGTCCGAGCTGCAGAAGAGACACACGTGCACAGACCTGGGTGAACTGCGCAGCTACCTTGGCTTGCAGATCACCCGGGACAGATCACGCTGCACCATTACCCTGACTCAGTCACACATGGTGCAGCAGGTCCTTCAACGCTTCGACTTCACGTGCTCCTCGCCTCACGCCACTCCTATGTCTACTCGCCACTCGCTCTCAGCACTATCTTCAGATGAGTCCGTAGAGCAGAGTGGCCCGTACCCAGAGCTTGTTGGCTGCCTCATGTAACTGATGACCTGCACAAGACCTGACCTTGCATACCCTCTTAGCATCTTGGCATGCTATGTGGCTCCTGGGAGACAACGACCAGAGCACATGGCTGCAGCGAAGAGGGTGTTGCGCTACTTGTGCAGTACGTCGGGCATGGGGCTAGTGCTTGGTGGGCAACGTTCAGTGGTCCTCAATGGTCACGCAGTCGCTTCTTAGGCTGACGACCACGCTACGCAGCGGTCGTCACAGGGTTACACCTTTAGCCTTGGTTCCGGCTCTATTTCGTGGCGTTCTACCCGCTCGTCTTCTGTTCTCACCTCGAGCTGTGAGGCTGAGATCTACGCGGGGGCCATGGCTGCACAGGAGCTACGATGGCTCACCTACCTGCTGACTGACCTAGGAGAGCCGCCTCGTTCTCCTCCAGTTCTGTACGTAGACAACAAGGCCATGGTGGCCTTGTGTCGGGAGCACAGACTGGAGCACAGAACGAAGCACATTGCTCTTCGCTACTTCCTTGCTCGTGAGCTGCAGCACCGTGGTGAGCTGCGCCTTGCTTACGTGGCCTCTTAGGCCAACAATGCTGATATCTTTACCAAGGCACTTCCGCCTTGTGATCATCAGCGCTGTTGTACGATGCTAGGTCTTGTGCCTACTTGGCCTCACTTGCTCACTTCTTGACCTTGTTTGTACTGTGATCTTTCTATACATGCACTTGCTTGTTTACTTTTATATATGATCTTGCATGTGAGCTGGCTTTGTGGCCTTGAACTTGTGCTCGGAATGTGTGGTGACGTTGTGATCCACCCTGAGCTTGCTTTGCTTTGCTTGACTGGTCTTGTGACCTCTTGTTCTCCCCCACTTTGCCTATGGGGGTGTGTCAGACTCATATGCTATAGTCTGTGTAGGCTGTAGTGGGGTAGACAATATGGGGTACAACACTTATAGGTTTTTCTACTTGTACCCACCTGCTTGCTAGTTCATTTCATTCCTCATTTCTTTACAAAACGAACGAAGAAAACTGAATCAAAAGCTGAGAGTGAGGGCCGTATGAAGCCCTAGCCCGAGACCCCTTCAGTTTTGTGGCCCGGCTTCCTCTGCGGGGAAAGTCCAGCCACTGTCCAGATTCCCCGCAGAGGAGCTAAGCTGGGAAGCTCCTTGCCTCTGTGGCAGGGAATCTTGATGTTTGATGGGCACGTCGTGGCTGAACCACGACGTGCCCACGATCGCATGCAACCATGATTGGGCCGCTGTGATGCGAATTATGTGTGCGCTGGTATGGGCCAGGTTCACGTTCGATGATCCTGGGCTGGCCAACAAGGCGTGGAAGGCGTGATGCCACGCCTTGTTGGCCGATTCATGCGCAAAACATGCATAGTTTCGAACGTTCTCGACTCAGGTGGATTCGCCTTTGAGAATGCTTCGATTTGGTATATTTAAAAACAAATTTCATTTTTGACATAACATAAACGTTGGCGCTTATAATTTTACTATATTATCAGCCCACCCCCTAAAAAATCATGTTTTATTAGTGCCTCCCATGGGGGTATATCCGGGGTATGACGGTACCGTTTGCCTCCCCCTCCAAACCTCCCTGAATATAAATGCCCCGGCAGGTTGTAATGAAACGGGTTTTTTTTGTGGTACGTTTATTATTGGGAATTTTCTATAAAGCGCCGTGATCAGTATAATGAGACATCAATAAATCTACACCGTTTATACTTGGGGATTTTCCATAAGCGAGTATCGCGAAGTGGTAAGGAAACACTGCTTGGATGAAATGGCGGGAGAGGTATTGTACGCGGTATGGGGTTAAAGTTAGGAAATGTAAAGGTATGCCAACTAGGTTCTTTACAGTCGTGCTTATATTGAGGTGAGACTTGTTTACAGTCAGCTTGGCGCAAACCAGAACCGCTCGGTGCCACGCTCCATCGCACGAGCACCGGGTCATCCCGAAATGCCCTCTTCAGGGCCACTCCAGCCTAGAACTGAACTACACCAACCCGTCTTGCGCTTTGGTGAGCCATCGCATGGCAATTGGTGCTCGCGGCTGCCATCACCATCACCCTTCATTCACCCATGCTCGACCCGCCCCATCTCCTCGCTCACACCACACCCCTCGATACCTCCGTCCGCTCGCCGCGCCGACATGCCCGCCGCCCTCTCCGCCTGGGTGTGCCTCTCGCTCAACGTCACCGCCGCCTGCCACCTCCTGCTGCTCCCCCCGCGCGGCTCCCTTCCCCCCGCCGCGCATTCCCGCGCGTTGAATGCCGGCCAATCAGACGCGGGCTATGAAGGTGACCCGCGGGTTGACTTGAGTGGCGGGTTTTGCGCCGCGGGTCTGAGCGTCGCAGACGCTGTGCGATGGCCGTGCTCGTCGCAGCATCGTCGTCGTGCGACGGCCGCCGTGCAGTCGAGCGCGGGCGGAATGGCGGAGCGTTGCGGCGGCGCGATGGATGGTGGCGGCGGTGTTGACCCACGGCCGTGGTAAGAGCCGCTCCGCCCTTGCCGCTCCGCTCTGCCCCCTCGCGTGCCTACTCGCGCGCCTGCAACCCTCCGCCCCCCTATTCCAGCGCCACTGGTTCGCATATATTCCCCTCCCCCGTCCCCCACCCGCCCATTCAATGTCCCCCTGTTATTCCTCTCCTCCCCTTCCACCCGCCTCCACCTACCTTGGTATAGGCAACATATAGGCGTTTTGAACCGTTTTATGCGGCCGAGAAATACAACATCGTACTATACACCAGAATTACAATGCACCTTGTTCCTTACACCCCTCACCCTCCTTTGATTGTCCTCAAGGTCTTTCAACCCCTCACAAGCTTCCTTCTGTACCATCCCCTCCCATTCGCATGCGCTGTGCATCCCTTCTCGCCCTCTCGCCCTCTCGCCCACTCCGCCTCTCCGCCTCTCCGCCTCTCTGCCTCTCCGCCTCTCTGCCTCTCCGCCTTTCTGCCTCTCCGCCCCTCCGCCTCTCTGCCACTCCGCCTCTCTGCCACTCCGCCTCTCTGCCACTCCGCGAACCTACCCCATCCCCACCAATCCGTGCCTCTTCGCCCTCAACCCACCACGTGTCCCCATTCACGCGCATCCCCACTGTCACCTACCACCCTTTCTCGCCTTCCTTCCCTCGTCTTCCCTCACTCTTCCGTTTCCGACTCCCCCTTCGCCCCTCCACCCCCCAACAGCAGGCTACAGGGGGAGCTGGTTGCGCTGGGGGCAAGCTGGGGGGCAGCGGAAGGGGGGAGGCGGAAAGGGAAAGGTGGACGGGTGGGGAAGCAGAAGCAGAGGGTTGGCGGGGAGCAAGGAGGAAGGGGGAGCAGAGCGCAGGAGGAGCAAGGCGGGCGCGAGGATGGGAGCAAGGCGGATGGGGGGGTGGTGTGGGCGGAAGGGACGTGCGCCCAGCTGTTCCTCCTGGAAGGTGTGGTGTGGTGAGAGACCGTGAGACCACCCACGCCCTCCCCGCTCCGCGTGGTGGTGTGGTACAGTGTGGTGCGGTGCAGTGCGGTGTGGTGTGGTGTTTGTTTGTGGCGTCAGACACAGCTCCTCAGCCTCCCCTCTCTCACCACTTCCGTTCTCCTCTCTCCCCTTCCATCTCGGTGTCCCCTTATCTTTCACTCAAATGCGCCATTCATACACACGCATTCATCCATACCCCCAGCTCTCATACCGTCCCCGCTCCTCCTCCTTGCTGCCTTGTCTTCCACCGTCGGTCCCTGCCACAGGTGCTTGCCTCCGTGCCCTCTCGCTAGCGCACCACCAGCACACACTGCCCCTAGCTGTTGACAGCACTCCTAACACCTCCATGCCGCATTGGCCCTCGCCCCTCTCCGCACTGTGTGTGCCACTCACTGCCCACCAGCCTTCCACTCCCCCACCCCGCTCCTCTTCCTCCTCCACCATCTCTTCTTCCTCCTCCTCCTCCTCCTCCTCCTCCTCCTCCTCCTCCTCCTCCTCCTCCTCCTCCTCCTCCTCCTCCTCCTACTCCTCCCCCTCCTCCTCCTCCTCCTCCTCCTCCTCCTCCTCCTCCTCCTCCTCCTCCTCCTCCTCCTCCTCCTCCTACTCCTCCTCCTCCTCCTCCTCCTCCTCCTCCTCCTCCTCCTCCTCCTCCTCCTCCTCCTCCTCCCCCTCCTCCTCCTCCTCCTCCTCCTCCTCCTCCTCCTCCTCCTCCTCCTCCTCCTCCTCCTCCTCCTCCTCCTCCCCTTCTTCTCCGTCCTCCCGCAGTCCACACTCCTCAGCCCCTCCAGCCTCTACCAACCGTTCGTCATATCAGCTGCAGCCACACTCATTCCCCCCGACGCCTTTCACTGCGCCCCCACACGTTGCTGACACCCAGGTGGGCTCCCCATGCCTCCCTGCCTGCCTGCCTGGCCATCCCTGCCTCTCCCCATGCCCGCCCGCCCTCACACTCACCACAAGCGGGTGTTCCCGCACGTGCCTTCCATACCTGCGTTTGCCCAATGTCCCCATCTGCTCCCCACCTCGTCCCTCACCCCGTTCCGCAACCATGCTATCAGGCATCCCGTTCCCCAGCCTGCCTCTCCCCCCATTACATGTCTCTGCCTTTGCCTCTGCCCCCTCTGCCATTCACCCTGGCACCTCACAGCCCAGACCTCACCACAGCACACCACAGCACACCACACGGGACACTCATTGTCCCAAAGCAGACGTCCCCCCACCCACCCCTCCTCCTGCACGTATGCTCCCCTCCCCCTCCTCTGCCAGGAGATCGCACAGCTGCGGCAAGCAGTGCAGGGGTCACCTGGGGAAATCTCTCTGCTGTTCCAACGAGGTGCGGGGATTTGGGGGGGTTGGAGGCGGGGGTTGGGAGTGATTGATGGAAAGGGGAAAAGGAGGGAATTGGGAGGAAGATAGGTGAAACGGGAAGGAGGAACAAGTGTGTGGAAGGAGTGAGAGAGGGCAAGGAGGAAGAAGTGAGAGGGCAAGGTTGTGAGGCGGCAGCAGGGATTGCAAAGGGGAGGGAGGTGGAGGGGGGACGGATTGATAGAGCATAATGCACAGAGCGCTAACTCCTTTTCAAGCAGCAAGCGCTCTTTTAAAGAACAGCCATGGATATCACAGCGGTCAGCTGAAGCTCCATCCACAATTCACCAACCTCTCTGTCAGTATTTGAGCTTAGAATCCATGCATTAATAATGAGTTCAAGGCTCTTTAAGTACATTGGAAATGGGCATGGTAAGGGTGGGGAGAGAATCGGGGACAATCCTGGGGAATTGGAGGTAATCCCAAGGCAATCTCCAATTGGTGGGTTGGAGATTGCTTGGAGATCGCATTTGGGTTTGGTTTGGATGTGGGTGTACACCCAACCGAACACAAAGTGCAGACTACACTAAACTAGGATATAAAAAGTACAAGTACAAATGTGAGATTGAGAGCTAAACATTAACACCCCACCATAGTCGTCAATCGAACTCATGGCAGAGAAGGAGGAGCGCAGAGCCCCATGGTGCCTAGGAGGCGATGGTGAGGAACCTTCCCAAAGGGCTTGGTGAACAGATCAACCAAGTTGCAGTCAGAAGCCACATACTCCACACTGAGCTACTCCCGCTGGACAAGGTCACGGATGAAGAAGTGCCGAAGTTCGATGTGCTTGGTGCGAGTGTGATACACGGGATCCTGGGACAGGTGGATGGTACTCTTGTTGTCACACCAGAGCGTGGGAGTGGGCTGAGGGTAGCCAAGATCCTGGAGTAGGAAAGTGAGCCAGCAGGCCTCCTGAGCAGCCATGGTGCCAGCGTAGAGCTCGGCCTCACTGTAGGAGAGGGAGGCTGTTGACGACCGAGTGGAGCGCCACCTGACAATTCCACTCCCAAGGGTGAAAGAGTAGCCTTGGGAGAAGCGTCGATCGGTCTGGTCATCAGCCCAGGAGGAGTCTGTGTAATCTTCTAGGCGAGGAGGAGAAAGCCCACCAAAGGTGAGGATATGAGACTTGGTGCCCTGCAGATAACACAGCACCCGCTTTGCCGCTTTCCAATGGAGGTCAGTGAAGCATCCAGGAGCCACATACCGAGAGAGGACATTGACAGGGTATGCCAGGTCAGGCCGGGTACACATCATGGCGTACATGAGGGACCCAACTTGTTCTGGGTATGGCTCAGTGCATGCCTCTGGTGTGGGTGCAGCTGGAGCGGTGAGGAGGTGTTGCAGCGGCAATGGGGTGGCCATAGGTGTGCACAGCTCCATTCCAAAGCGCTTGAGCACATTATTGATGTAGAACTCCTGGGAGAGTAAGATGGTGCGAGCCTGGCGATCGCGAGTAATCTCCATCCCCATGTAGTGCTTGAGGTCACCGAGGTCTTTCATTAGGAGGGTCTTGCTCAGGGCTGCTTGGACAGAGGTCATCTGGGCCGGGTCCTTGGCAGCGAGGATGAAGTCATCGACGTAGACAAAGATGTAGAATGGCTCAGAGTGACGGCAGATGTAGAGAGTTGGGTCAGCAGACGATGGGTGAAAGTCCAATGAGAGAAGGACTCTTTTCACTTTGTTGTGTCATTCACGAGGGGCTTGCTTGAGCCCGTAAACAGGGCGTTTCAGCTTTCAGACTGTGTTGGGGGGGAACTCTCCTGGAAAGCCTTGAGGTCAGTCCATGAACACTGTCTCCTTGAGGCGTCCTTGCAGGAAGGCCGATGAGGCATCCATGGATTTGATCTCGAAGTCTTCTCGTGATGCTACATCCAAGAGCGTACGAACAGTGGGAGGTTTGGATGTTGGAGAGAATGTCTTGAAGAAGTCAAAGTAGTATTGCTGAGTGAATCCCTTGGCCACGTAGCGCGCTTTAAAAACTGGGCCTCATCCGGAAGCTGTTTCACTCGAAACAGCCACTTGCCCCCAACGATGTTAACTCTGGCGGTAGAGTTTCATCGTCAAAAGAGTGGTTGCGAGTGAAGGCTTCACCCTCAGCTTCCATGGCAGCACTCCACTCGGCAGCATGGGGACCCAAGAGAGCCTCTTGAACGGTGAGAGGGATGGGGGTGGTCGGATTCTCCGAGGAGTTGAGTGACGGTGATTCATTGATGTCGGGGAAGATGTGCGAGAGCTGAGGAGTGACAGCGTGGAGATCACAAAGCTCATGCCTGTCTTCGAGAAGGGTAAAAAGCACATCCCCCCCAGCAGGAGGAGTCGGAGTGATCACTGAGCATCAAATGGCAAGTGCCAGTGGAGGAGCAGCCCCATGCGACCTAGTGCCATGAGCCACCGGAGAAGAGGGTGGAGCGGGCGGCACTGGAGGGGTCGGTTTAGGGGGTTTGGGCGGAGGGATCGGCCGTCGCTGGTACGTGATCAGTTCGGGCGGTTGTGGGGGAGCGGGTTCCTGAGTGGAGGGGGGAACAGGGGGAGGAGGTGGGGCCGGAGGGTTCGACCGCCGATGGTATGTGATTGGTGTGCTTGGTACTGGTGGCGCGGTTGGGAGAGTGGGAGAAGGGGGGGATGGGGGAGCAGCTGCCGATGACACCGGTGAGGTCGGGTCAGAGTCCTCCGAGGGAGAGGGTGCGATGGCAGGGGAGGTAGGAGGTGAAGCAGCTGGTGCAGGCGGGAGCGCGGGAGGTGCATCAAAGTCAGCCCACACGAGAGAGGGTGGTCCGGAAGGGGGATCGTCCCCCGAGGTGGAGTAGAAGGGGCGGGTCTCATCAAAGACAACGTCACGGCTCCGGACTAACTGTTGATTGGAGGGGTTGAGGAAGAGGTAGTCAGGCGAGTCGGCGTTGTGCCCAAGGTAGATGCATGTTTGAGTCTTGGGGCCGAGTTTGCCACCTTGCCGCCGCCGAGCCTGGGGGTTGAGGAGGACATAGGCGGTGCACCTTCAGACGCGAAGAGGGCAAGCAGTGGGTGTTTTCCCGAGCCAGAGTGTGGTGGGAGTGGTATCGGGGAGATGCGGGTGGGGGTAGAGGTTGTAGAGGAGTGCGGCATGATAAAGGGCGTACCCCCAGAGTGAGAGTGGTGCTTGGGAGTGGCTAAGGAGGCAGCAGGTGATTTGTGCCAGCGTGAGATTGCGGCTCTTTGCGATGCCGTTCTGCTGCGGGCTGTCAGGAAGGGTGAAGTTTTGCAGAATGCCCTTTGAGGAGCAGAAGGATTTGAGCTTGTCGTTGCAGAATTCACCACCACCATCTGAATGGAGGCGCTTGACCGTGCGGCCAAAGGTGGTCTGTGCCAGATTGATCCACGCTATGATGACCTCAAGGGCCTTTGCCTTAGTGTGAAGGAGGTGCACAAAGACGTAGCGAGAGTGGTCATCAACTATTGCAAGGAAATAGCGATATTCGCCTCGTGCGGCAACAGGGGCAGGGCCCCAGACGTCCATGTGTACTAGGTCAAGTGGGGCTGCTGCCAAGGTTCAAAATTACGACCGAATTATTGAAATTCCACCGTATAATACGGAATTGGTTTGAAAAAATTCATTGATTGCTAGGAGAAAAACTACGCTTTTTAAAAGTCTATCAAAAATACGGCGTATTTTTGGATATTTGGCCGTAAAAAACGACCGTATTATACGGACCGTATAATACGATAACCGTAATTTTGATCCTTGGCTGCTGCGATTGAGGGTGAGGCAGGGTGGGGCTGTTGGCGTAGCTTGCTCTTGGTGCAGTCAAGGCACGTGGGAGCGGAAGAGTCGGGTGGTGGAGGAAGTGAAGCTGGTAGGCCGAGAAGAAGTTTCTTGGAGGCCATGTCAGCGAGCGTGCGGAAGTTTGGGTGCCCGAGCCGATGGTGGTAGAGGATGGTCGGGTTGGAGAAGCTGCGACATGAGCATGGTGTGATAGCAGCCTGTGCTTGGGTGGTTGGCACCTGTAGGATAGGTACTCGCAGCGTGTAAAGACCGCTGCTATTGAGGGTGAAGCGAGCCAAGACCTTGTTGGTGAGTGGGTCAACGATGTCACAATGGTCCTCGTTCTCCGAGAAGATGGTGCGTAACCCCGCATCCTGAATTTCTGTTTGAGCCACTAAATTGTGGCGTAGTGAAGGCACGCACATGCCAGTGACAGTGCCGGATGGGAAGGCGGGGCATGGGACAGTGGATGAACCTTTGGCGTAGGTGGTGAAGCTTGAATCAGCTCCCAAGAGAGGAATAGGTGTTGCGTAAGGTTTGAAGGAGAGTATCTCCTTGAGCACTGTGTGGGTGGCCCCGTTGTCGAGTGTAAACTCTATGTACTGTGGTGCTTGCGGTGAGCCGATATGCTGCGAGGTTGCTTCATTGATCATGGCGGGACCAGGGATTAACAAGTTGATGGTTGCCGAAGCGAAGGCCATGGTGAAGAACCTCTTTCTTGCGCGAAATGTCTCTCTTAAGTCACCGATAAGAACTTTGGGTTTTAGGGTTTACGAAGGAGAATTTTGAAGAACTTGAGGTTTTGGGTTTCTGAAGGAGAATTTGAAGGAAACGCTGAATTTAGAACCATCAACGAACTGCTAGCCCTCCCCCCCCCCCCCCCCCCCCCCCAGCCCTGTCCCTCAGCTTCGCGGCTTCGCTGCTGCACTGCTGCTCGGCTGCACCTGTTTAGCTGCGGGGTGGTGGAAGTGCCGTAGCGGGGCGACGGGCGGCAGCCCAATGAGAAGCTGCAGGGCGACGGGCGACGGCTCGATGAGAAGCTGCAGGGCGGCGGGCGACGGCTCGATGAGAAGCTGCAGGGCGACGGGCGACGGCTCGATGAGAAGCTGCAGGGCGACGGGCGACAGCCCGATGAGAAGCTGCAGGGCGGCGGGCGACAGCCCGAAGATTGACGAGATGAGAGGAATGGGGTTACGCCGAAGCGAGAAGAAAAACGGGACAGAACCGCGGTGATTTGAGGTGAATGGCGAGCAAACGCTAGTGAAGGTTACCTTGATTGCGAATCACCGTGATTGCACTGTGATTGCGGAAAAGGTCGCACGAGAGAGAAACTGTCCACGGAAGATGTCGCGAATCACGGCGACGAGGAGCGGCACAGGAGAACTTCCGGCCAGGAAGATTAGGTCGATGATGACTCTTAACGTCGAGCGATGAATGTTGACGGCGGCTTCGCCTAGTATAGCGGGAGAGGATTCCGCAAAGGTAATAGGATCAAGATCCGAGTGTGCGGTTGAAGAGCTCTGTCACCATGTCAGAACTTGAGCTTAGAATCCATGCATTAGTTATGAGCTCAAGGCTCTTTAAGTACATTGGAAATGGGCAAGGTAAGGGTGGGGAGAGAATCGGGGACAATCCTGGGGAATTGGAGGTAATCCCAAGGCAATCTCCAATTGGTGGGTTGGAGATTGCTTGGAGATCACATTTGGGTTTGGTTGGGATGTTGGTGTACACCAACACAAGGTGCAGACTACGCTAAACTAGGATATAAAAAGTACAAGTACAAATGTGAGATTGAGAGCTAAACATTAACACTCTCCCCCCTCACCCGCCCCGAATTCCCTCTCTGCACCTCCGTCCGGACTCCAGCCTTCTCTCTGTCACGCATTCCCACCCACCCCACACCTTCGTCCCACCCCACCCCTCTTCTTTGTCGCGTATTCCCTTGCACTCCTGCCAGGCGTGGCGCTGCTGGGAGCGATCCGCAACTGGGAGGCCATTGATGACTTTAAGGCCGTGCTGCTGCTCTCACCACACCACCACAATGCACGCGCACACCTGGTTCGTTCCACTGTGCTCTACCCTCCACCCACTTCCCTCCCATTCCCCCCTTCCCCTCCTCCCCCCCCCCTCCTCACCCTCCTTTTTCCCCACACGAACAGTGCACACAGCAGCAGCATGCAGTGAAACCCAACACAAACCCAGTTTTGAGGCGCCTCAAAACTAGACTTCCCCCCCCTCCTCACCCTCCTTTTTTCCAACACGAACAGTGCACACACGGCAGCATGCAGTGAAACCCAACACAAGCCCTCCTACATTCGTAGTGCTAGCTATCCCCTCGTCTCCCTCCCCTGCCCGCCCCCTGCCTGTGCTTCTCCATGCCAGTGCCAGCACTACAACCCCACCACAACCACACCCCACCCAACACTCCCCACCCAACACACCCCACCTCCCCCCTCCACCCAGACTCAACCCCTCCCTTTTTCCTCCCCACCCCCCTCCCTCCAACCCCCTCTCCTCGCCCCCACTCTCCCTTTCTCCCCCCTTCCTCCCCCACTCCCCCCTCCCACCCCCTCTCCCCCCTACGTTTTTCTGCTCACCCGCCAGGCACAGGCACTGCTGGAAGCGGGGCGGTGTGAGGAGGCGGTGGGGGAGCTACAGGCAGTGGTGGCGGCGCAGGGGCAGTACTGGCAGGTGCGCGTGGTGCTGGGACAGGCGCTCATGGTGGCGGGGCACGCCCAGGAGGCCGATGCTGCTCTGCAGGCTGTCCTGGCCATGGATGCACGGTGAGGAGGGAGGGTGAGGGGACGGGTCGTAATGGGATGGGAGGGGAGAAGAGGGAGGGCTGGGAAGGGAGGGGAAGGGGGTTGCCACGCCGAGCGAGGAGGCCGATGCCCCTCTGCAGGCTATCCTCGCCATGGATGCACAGCTATATTGGTGCGACTTTTGAGAATTCTCACAAGGTAGCTGAGTGGGAGGTGAGGGATGCACGGTGGGGCGGTACTGGCAGGTGCGCATGGTGGCGGGGGCTAACATTAACAGGGGCATCCCCTCCGCACGACGCCGAATCCACTCTACAGGCTGTCCTGATCATGGATGCACAGTGGGCAGGGAGAGGGGTGCTGGATGGGGGAATATGGAGAGGGGGGAGGGGAGAGGAGGGAGGGATTGGGTGGACTTTTGGGGGACAGTGGTGGGGAGGAGGGGGTGGTGGGGAGAGGGAGTGTGGGAGAGCGAAGGGATATCCAGGTGCTGTGCTGAGAGAGAGAGAGAGAGTGTGGAAGTGTATTCTGTACCTGCCCCATGTTCGTGATAACCTATACCTTGCATGTCTGTACACCTTGACTATCGATGAAAGGGCCATTAGAGAGAGTGTGGAAGCCAGCGTGCTTTGTGAACTTGGGAAAAAGGAAATCCTCCTATTGCAATCCCATCAACTCGAGCTGCCACCCACTGCTGTGTTCTGCTGACCCTGCTCTTCCCTGCTGGTCTCTGCCATCTCCCTCCCCTCTCCCCGTTCTGCTCCCAGCAACGTGGAGGTGCAACGCATATACGCCAACTTCCACTTCTCCATGGGCCACCACCAGTACGTTCCCTCCGGACCCCCGGCCCCCACAGCTCAATTCACTCCCCACAGCTCAATTCACTCCCCACAGCTCAATTCATCCCCCACAACTCAATTCATCCCCCACAGCTCAATTCCCCCCCTCACCCGCTCAACTCAACCCTGACTCAGCCCCGTTCTCCACCGTAATCTCTACCCTGCATCCCTGCGTCGCTGCATCATCGCACCTTGAGCCTGCTCTGTTCCTCAGGCCTCCGTGCCTCCTGTCCGAACCCCCCGTTCCCTTCCCTCTACCCTGCCTGCCACCACTCTCTCCTTCCCTTATGCTTCTCTCAGCTTAACTGCATCATCATCACATCTCTAGCAAGCACCTTCCTCTCCCCTCTCAGCCCATCCATGCCCCATCCCTCCTTTCCTATGGTATCAGACCATTCTTCTCTTCTCTGTGCTATTCTTCACATGCCTTCATGCGTGCACAGTATCACTGCCTGCACAGCACTGCACCCGCCCATCTCATGCTCCCCTGTCCCTATGCGCCCATCGCATGCATGCCTCCCACTGTGCCATCCCACTGTGCCATCCCTCCTTGCCATCCCCACCGTGCTTATCCCACAGCACCGTTCTATCCACAGCACAACACGTCCTCAGCATCACACCATCAGACGTCGAAATGCGCTTCCTGGAAGCTTCTTGCCTGCACGCCATGGGCCGATGGGCTGAAGCAGTGAGTGGCCCCCTCACTCTCACACCTCTCACACCTCCCCACCTTGTGGAATCCCTCCCTACCAGTCAGCACCTTGCTGCTCCTTGCAGCCATTCGTGCACTCCTGGATTTGCCATGCCATCCTGCGGCCCTCGCCCACCGCACTCCCCTCACATTTCCCTCTCCCCACACTGTCCGCCTGCCTGTGCTGCCATGGCATGGCATGGCAGGTGCGCAAGTACAATGACCTCATGAGCCTCACCCCACCACTCGGCACCGACCCTGGCAGGCTCTACCAGGCCTTCTACCAGGTAAATGCTGCTGCTGCTACTGCTGCCGCCGCTGCCGCCGCCGCCGGCTGCTGTGCCTTCGTTTTCTTCTGGTTTAATGACTGACCGACCGGTTTGCTCACTTCATGCAACACGGTGCCACAAGCTAAGCTACCTCGTCTATGGAGCACCAGTGCCAGTTTGCCAGTGCTGGTACTTGACTTGTCGCACTCCCCCTGCCCGCCCCCACTTGTCTACCTGCATTCTCCTCATGTGTGTGCGTGCGTGCATGTGTGTGCGTGCGTGCATGTGTGTGCGTGCGTGCATGTGCATGAGCCACAGAGGGAGATAGCGCTGTACATGGCAGCACGGCAGAGCAAGCCCCTCACTCTCTTCCGACCTTTGGACCACCTTGGACCTCTCTTCAACGTGAGCACTGCTCATTTCACTGCTCATCCCACTGCTCATCCCACTGCTCATCCCACTGCTCATCCCACTGCTCATCCCACTGCTCATCCCACTGCTCATCCCACTGCTCATCCCACTGCTCATCCCATTGCTCATCCCACTGCTCATCCCACTGCTCATCCCACTGCTCATCCCACTGCTCATCCCACTGCTCATCCCACTGCTCATCCCACTGCTCATCCCACTGCTCATCCCACTGCTCATCCCACTGCTCATCCCACTGCTCATCCCACTGCTCATCCCACTGCTCATCCCACTGCTCATCCCACTGCTCATCCCACTGCTCATCCCACTGCTCATCCCACTACTCATTTCCACAGCTCAACCCACTGCTCATCCCACTGCTCATCCCACTGCTCATCCCACTGCTCATCCCACTGCTCATCCCACTGCTCATCCCACTGCTCATCCCACTGCTCATCCCACTGCTCATCCCACTGCTCATCCCACTGCTCATCCCACTACTCATTTCCACTGCTCATCCCACTGCTCATCCCACTGCTCATCCCACTGCTCATCCCACTGCTCATCCCACTGCTCATCCCACTGCTCATCCCACTGCTCATCCCACTGCTCATCCCACTGCTCATCCCACTGCTCATCCCACTGCTCATCCCACTGCTCATCCCACTGCTCATCCCACTGCTCATCCCACTACTCATTTCCACTGCTCATCCCACTGCTCATCCCACTGCTCATGCCACTGCTGCCACTGCTCATGCCACTGCTGTTTGTTACTCCCCCCATTCCCCTCATCCCCTCTTCCCCTCTTCCCCCACACCTCACCCCCTCTCCCCTTTACCCCCTCACTCGTTCTCCCCATCCCTTCCCCACACACCACCACCACCACACCACCACCACCACCACCCACACAGGAAGCATGGAGCAAGCGCCTGCCTCCCTCTGTGCTCTCTCCTGGCTACGAGCTCCAATAGGAAGGGCACACACATGGTGGCACAAAAGGGGTTTCAAGACGTTTCAAAACTTCTTTCCATCCCCTTCCCTTCTCCACACACACACATTACCACTAACATCACCGCTGGTGCAGGAAGCATGGAGCAAGCGCATGCCGCCCTCCGTGCTCTTCCCCGGCTACGAGCTCCAGAAGGAAGGGCGCGCACATGGTGGCACAAAAAGGGCAGGCACAGGAGGGGAGGATGATGCGGTGCTGCCGCCCGCTGTGCTGCAGCTGGTGGGGGCGGCTGAGAAGCTGGGCGCACTCATAGTGTACGACTGGCACGGATTTCTGCCCAACATGCGCCAGGTGGGTGGGTGGATGCTGTTGGGGGAAGACGGGGAGAGGTAGAGGTGATGCGGGGATTTTCTGAGTGAAATTACACAGTCACCTCGCCACCTGAGTTGTCCGTATAATTCAAGATTGAGTTAACTCAACACATGTGCGACTGGCATTGCTCCTGGCCAACTCTTGCAAGGTGGGTGGGTGTGGATGGGATGGGAGGTGGAGATGGGAGGTTGAGATGGGAGGTTGAGATGGGAGGTTGAGATGGGAGGTTGAGATGGGAGGTTGAGATGGGAGGTTGAGATGGGAGGTTGAGATGGGAGGTTGAGATGGGAGGTTGAGATGGGAGGTTGAGATGGGAGGTTGAGATGGGAGGTTGAGATGGGGGTAGGCAGGGAGGAAATTTGAATGGATGGGCCTGTGCTGTCTCTTTACGTCTGTGACTCGCGATTTTCTGCGGAACAATCCATCCCTCCCTTCCCCCTCCCATCACTTCCCCCTCCTCCCCCCTGGGTGCATGGGGCACCACGACTAGTACCGCATGGCAGAGCTGGCAATGATGGACATTCTTTCAGGCGCCTTAACAAGTCTATCCCCTCCCTCTCCTCCCTCTCCTCCCTCTCCCCTCCTTCTCCCCTCCTTCTCTCCTCCTTCTCTCCTCCTTCTCTCCTCCTTCTCTCCTCCTTCTCTCCTCCTTCTCTCCTCCTTCTCTCCTCCCTCTCCCCTCCTTCTCTCCTCCTTCTCTCCTCCTTCTCTCCTCCTTCTCTCCTCCTTCTCTCCTCCTTCTCTCCTCCTTCTCTCCTCCTTCTCTCCTCCCTCTCCCCTCCTTCTCTCCTCCTTCTCTCCTCCTTCTCTCCTCCTTCTCTCCTCCCTCTCCCCTCCTTCTCTCCTCCTTCTCTCCTCCTTCTCTCCTCCTTCTCTCCTCCCTCTCCCCTCCTTCTCTCCTCCTTCTCTCCTCCTTCTCTCCTCCGTGTGTAAGTAGACGACTTTTGAGACGTCTCAACAGGCGCCTTAACAAGTCCATCCCCTCCCTCTCCTCCCTCTCCCCTCCTTCTCGCTCCCCCCCCCCCCCCTCCCCCCCCCGCGCCACCAGGATTGCATTGCAGGGCTGGCAATGATGGACATTCTTTCTGTGACAAGTCCATTCCTTCCCCTCCTCCCTCTCCCCTCCTTCCCACTCCCTCTTCTCCCGCCACCACCACCACCACCACCACCACCACCAGTACCGCATGGCAGGGCTGGCAATGATGGACCTTCGAGACCTGGTGCGCCGCACATGGGCGGCCATGGCGGAGGAGAGAGCCAGCGCGGTGGAGAGCGGTGCGAGTGGGCAGCCGGCAGAGGGCAAGCGGGGTTCAGGAGGAAAAAGAGGGCAGCGGCGGCAGCAGCGAGAGCAGCAGCAGGAGGAGGAGGGGGGAGGGGAGGAGAGGAAGGGAGGGGAGGGGAGGGGCGAGGGGGCACGGGGGCAGAGAGGGCGGAGGAGGCGGGGGGAGACGGTGGCGGGGTGGCGTGACGTGTATGACCGTGTGGTGCGGTGGCGACAGCTGGCAGAGCCAAGCACGGCTGTGGTGTGGATGGATCGACTCAGGTGGGGAGGGGTGGAGAGCAGGGAGGGCAGGGAGGGCGGGGAGGGCAGGGAGGGCAGGGAGGGCGGGGAGGGCAGGAAGGACGGGGAGGGCAGGAAGGATGGGGAATGTTGCATGGTTCTCATGTGTTCTTGAGGCGCGTCATGTAGAGTCACCTGGTCAGGGCGTATGTGTCCGTCGTTGTTACTTGTGAGCCTGGCCTGGCATCACCTGGTGTGGCATTGCATGCGATGCGAATAGGAGCATTGTGCTGCCGTCACCCCTAATTCCACATGCGGATGGCATGATGCATGCTCCTTTCCCTAACTCCGCTTGCCCCCTCCTCCCTCTCACCCTGTGAACCCACTTCCACCTTCGCACCCCACGTGCCCCCTACCCCTTCTCACCCGGTGTGCTCCTTCCTGCGCCCTGCATGCGCCCTGTGTGTGGTGAGAGCAGTGAGAGCGAGCAGCATGCAACACTGGACACGCCACTCATGAACGGGCAGTCCATCAACGCACGCTACTCGCCCTACTACAACCGGTGGGTACCCACTCACTCACCCATTCACTCGCTCACTCACCTCTCGCACTCGCTCACTCACTCGCTCGCTCACTGATTCACCTCACTCACTCGCTCACTCACTCACTCACTCACTTGCTCACTCACTCTCTTGCTCACTCACTCACTCACCCACACGCTCACTCACTCACTCACACGCTCACTCATTCACTCGCTCACTCACCTCTCGCACTCGCTCACTCACTCGCTCGCTAGCTGATTCACCTCACTCACTCGCTCACTCACTCATTCACTCACTCACTCGCTCACTCACTCTCTTGCTCACTCACTCACTCACCCACACGCTCACTCACTCACTCACACGCTCACTCACTCACCACACTCCCTCACCCACTCACTCGCTCACTCACTCATCTCACTCATCTCACTCACTCACGTCGCCGAATCAACTTGTGAGTGCACACTCGTAGGTCGCATCAACGCAACCTCTGCAATAGGTGGGTGCCTACCCGCTCATGGCTTGCCTTGGGGTGTACCGCGCATGCACGCACCTTACACACACTCATGCCACTTCTTCCCTGAGAAGTTTGCGGCCTTTTCCCTTTCCTTCAAACGGTCCTTTCATTGATATAGGCGGCAGTATACAGGCACACTGATCAGTTTAAGAAGCAGACAAACTCCAAAACAGAAGCCACCTCCCCCCTTCCTCTCTCCCTCTAAAACAGTCTCTACTTTCCCTTTCCTTCCCTCTCCCCCTTTCCCTTTTTTTTCCCACCTTTTTCCCCACCTCCCCCTTCCTCTTCCCCTTTTCCCCTCTCCTTTCAACTCCCGTTTTCCCTCTCGCTCCCCCCTCCACATTCCCCTTCCCCTTCTCTCCCTGTTTTTCCCCTCCCTTTTTCCGGCTCCATTTCCCTCCTCTTTGTCCCATCCTCTTCCTCCTCCCACCACTCGCCAGCACACTTCATCTACTGCACGCGCTCATGCTGCAGAGGGCACCATCAGCAGCAGACAGAATGGAGCAGGTGAGTCGTGTTTTGAGTTGACTCAGCGGGTGAGCTCTGCTGCCAGTCCTGTTGCCCTTCAGCCGCCGCCCCTCCTCTGCTCTATCTTGCCTCTCCTCTGCTCTATCTTGCCTCTCCTCTGCTCTATCTCGCCTCTCCTCTGCTCTATCTCGCCTCTCCTCTGCTCTATCTCGCCTCTTCTCTGCTCTATCTCGCCTCTCCTCTGCTCTATCTCGCCTCTCCTCTGCTCTATCTCGCCCCTCCTCTGCTCTATCTCGCCTCTCCTCTGCTCTATCTCGCCTCTTCTCTTCTCTATCTCGCCTCTCCTCTGCTCTATCTCGCCTCTCCTCTGCTCTATCTCGCCCCTCCTCTGCTCTATCTCGCCCCTCCTCTGCTCTATCTCGCCTCTTCACTGCTTTAACTCGACCTCTCTGCGGCTCTTTCCTCTTCCTTTCCTCTTTTCGTTTGTCCATCCCGTCCGTTCTGCTGGCATGGAACGGCATGGTATGGCACTACATGGAACGGCATGGCATGGCATGGCATGGCATGGAACGGCATGGAACGGCATGGCATGGCATGGCATGGCATGGAACGGCATGGCACAGCATGGCACGGCATGGCATGGCATGGCATGGCATGGCATGGCATGGCATGGCATGGCATGGCATGGCATGGCATGGCATGGCATGGCATGGCATGGCAATGCATGGAACGGCATGGCATGGTATGGCATGGCATGGCGCGGCATGGCACATGGTGTGCCACGACATGGCATGGCACATGGCACGCAGCTGGCAGTGGCAGGGAGTGTGGAGGAGGTGTGGGCAGTGGCAGGTGGAGACTCATGGGCCACCATTCCCTGCCATAGCACCGCATCCCCTGGGTGAGAGAGGCAGAGAGGGAGAGTACCACTGCTGAATGGGGGGAGAGGGCTGTTGGGGAGAGGGCTGTTGAGAAGATGAGGTGGATCGTAGCCCCAAGAGCCCCTTTCCTCTTCATAAGTCGTCTCATGGGCCACCGTTCTCTGCCACAGCACAGCGTCCCCTGGATGATAGGCAATACTGAGTGGGGAGAAGGAGGGTGGGGAGGCAAGAGCGAAACGAAAGGAGGGATGGGAACGCAGGGTGAATGGCGACAGGACCGTGTGTGAGAGTGACGGTTGAAAAACAATCAGCCTGGCAAGAGGGAGAGGCCGTGCGATACACTTCCCCGCCTTCCCCCTTCTACTCCATGCACTGCTTGCTTGCTTGCTTGCTTGCTTGCTTGCTTGCTTGCTTGCCTGCCTGCCTGCCTGCCTGCCTGCCTGCCTGCCTGCCTGCCTGCCTGCCTGCCTGCCTGCCTGCCTGCCTGCCTGCCTGCCTGCCTGCCTGCCTGCCTGCCTGCCTGCCTGCCTGCCTGCCTGCCTGCCTGCCTGCCTGCCTGCCTGCCTGCCTGCCTGCCTGCCTGCCTGCCTGCCTGCCTGCCTGCCTGCCTGCCTGCCTGCCTGCCTGCCTGCCTGCCTGCCTGCCTGCCTGCCTGCCTGCCTGCCTGCCTGCCTGCCTGCCTGCCTGCCTGCCTGCCTGCCTGCCTGCCTGCCTGCCTGCCTGCCTGCCTGCCTGCCTGCCTGCCTGCCTGCCTGCCTGCCTGCCTGCCTGCCTGCCTGCCTGCCTGCCTGCCTGCCTGCCTGCCTGCCTGCCTGCCTGCCTGCCTGCCTGCCTGCCTGCCTGCCTGCCTGCCTGCCTGCCTGCCTGCCTGCCTGCCTGCCTGCCTGCCTGCCTGCCTGCCTGCCTGCCTGCCTCTGCCTGCCTGCCTGCCTGCCTGCCTGCCTGCCTGCCTGCCTGCCTGCCTGCCTGCCTGCCTGCCTGCCTGCCTGCCTGCCTGCCCTGCCTGCCTGCCTGCCTGCCTGCCTGCCTGCCTGCCTGCCTGCCTGCCTGCCTGCCTGCCTGCCTGCCTGCCTGCCTGCCTGCCTGCTTGCTTGCTTGCTTGGCCGCCTTGCTCTCATTGCCCTGGCCCTCCCCTGCTCTCCTCCCCCTCTTCCCCCCGCCCCTGTCACCAGCACACTGCTTAACGGCACTCGAATCACCCTTTCCCGCACGTGAGTCACCTCATCTCACCTCACATCATCTCACCTCACCTCCCCTCACCTCCCCTCCCCTCAACTCCTCTCCCCTTATCTACTTGACTTGGCAACTCCACAACTGCCACCCACCTCACTACTCCACTCCGCTCCTTCCACATCTCTCCGCATTCCGCATAACCCCCATCCCATCTACATCTTGCCTTGAGTATCTAGCCGTGCAACTTCTCATGTACACTGGCTGCTCTGATGCTATGAGTGCTCATTTGGTGATTAGGCACCGGTTTGAGGCACAATCAGTCAGATGCAAGCTAGTGCATGTTCCATTAGGCTCACGTTTACCCACTCCTGCCCACTCCTGCCCACTCCTGCTCCATGATTCCTGTGCAGTGCTTGTGCTGCCCATTCATCCGTCCTTCCCTCCCCCCTCCCTTCCATAGCTCCTCGAATGCATGGCCATGGGCCATATTCACAGACTCTCACACTTCTGCTTCCTTCACGCCCCTATCCTATGTGTGCATGTCTGCCCTGCCGCCCTGCTGCCCTGGATCTCTGTCCCCCTGCCGCCCTTTTAACGTACTGCCACCAGTCCCACGTACTACCGCCTGTCCATCAACGTGTTTGTCACACAGCAGCGCATCCAGCAGTTCAACCACGAGATGACTTTTGAGTCGACTCAAAAGCTTCTTTCACACCCCTCTCCCATGTGTGCATGTGCTCCCCCTGCATCTCTGTCCCCCTGCCGCCCCTCTACCTTGCTACCGCCAGGCCCACGTACTACCGGCTGTCCATCAACGTGTTTGTTACGCAGCAGCGCATCCAGCAGTACAACCACGAGATGGACGCCGCATGGAAGGTGAGTGTTGAGTTTTGAGGCAACTCACCTCAACGTGTTTGTCACGCAGCAGCGCATCCAGCACCAGCAGTACAACCACGAGATGGACGCCGCATGGAAGGCCCGTGCTTGCTGCTTTCCTCCCTCCCATCCCATGCTGCCTTCCTTTTGTCGTATCTGCCTTCCATACCTGGTCTGCAATGCCCTCCTTTCCCTCCCTCCACGCCCCTTCTTCCCCCCTCCTCCTCCTCCATGCCTCAGCTGCTCTTCTTTTCTCTCTGCACCTTCCCCCTTTCCCTCCCCCAGAGACTCTGTTTGGTTTCCAAATCTCCAGCATTCTCAACCCACCTCCCCCTCGCCGCATCCTTCCCCAAGACCGCTCAACAGAGCAGACTTGAACACAGAACAGAACACCACCCTCCCCTCCTCCCTTCACCTCTTGCTGTTCTCCTCCCCCCACCACCTCCCTTCTCCCCCCCCCCCCCCCCCCCAAGCCGTTATGCTTTCAATATAAAAAATACCATCTTTCTCCACTTCCCCCTTCCCCTCCCACCAGGCGCTGTGCGCAGCATACCTTGACTCAAGGCTGAAGGAAAGCAACATCACGGAGTATCGGCACCGTATTCACCGCGCCATCCTCACCCTCTCATTCTACTGGTGCGTGTGGGGGGAGCGGGAGGAGGAGAAGGAGGAGGAGAGTGGGGATTGGGTGTGAAGTGGGGGAGGGGAGGGTTGAAGGGTGGGGGGGGGCATGGCCGGCAGAGAGGGATGAAGGCAGGGCAAGTTTCACCTCATGTTGCACATTGAGTTTCGCTTGATGGGAGGGGCTAGGACAACCTCTTTTGCCCAGAGGTGGAAAACAATGCAGGGACTGGAATCGATCTTTCCCATGATCATTTCCCTGCATGTGTCCATCCGGCTCCCTTCTCTTTCCATTCCGCCCTTCCTGGTTGCCCGCTCAGGCCCTCACAGGTACCAGTACAGGCCATTGACCCGCGGCACGGCCATGGTGGGGTATGTCAGTGGTAGGTGATGCAGGTACCGGGCTTGGTCCTTGCCATGAGCATTTCTCCCATCCAACCCTCTACTCTTTCCATTCCGCCTTTCCCGCTCGAGCCCCCACAGGTACCAGTACGGGCCATTGACCCGCGGCACGGCCATGGTGGGGTATGTCACCATGCTGGGGCTGTTCCTGGCAGCGGACATGCAGGTCACAGCAAATGCACCACGGGGATTTCAGGTGGGGCACAGTTATACGGATACAAAGCAGTATGAGTGAGACTCATGGATATAACGAGTGAGACGCATGGATAGGAGTGAGACTCGTGGGGAAAAGAGATGGGCTGATATCATGAGTGGCAAACTCACCCGCACACATTCAAGTGAGATTAGCGTCCCATTAAACTTCTCTTTCACTAAAAGCACCTTCTCGTCACCCCCTTGTCCCCGTCTTTCTGCAGGTTGACTGGGAGGCTATCCTCTCCCCGCACGTGGACTCCTTCATAGCTGCTGTCTCTCCATGGCTCGTTCCCTCCATCGATTATGACTGCCCCATCTTTCACAACCTCTCCTCAGCACCAATTGCTGAGTCACTTCCGTCTCTCCAGCACGTGATCCACGCTCTCAGCTACTCTGACAAACCTGCTCCTGCTTTTTGAAGCAGTTTAGTGAAATGCCTTGCATTGATGCTGCTGTCCTGTCCTCTGCTGGTGCTAGAATCCAGCTTTGCCACTCATTGCCAGCTCCTAAATTGATGAGTTGTGCTCTAGCTGACAACAATTCTCATACCGTAAGTGAAAGATGTTCTCACACAAGTAGCATGATAACGCTGTGGAGCTAGCACCAGGACCTGCAGAGGTGTTTTTGCATGGCTCCACAATGTGTTGCAATACCTATACTACACCAAATATTGTTTAGCAGCTCCAATCAGTGTGTCTACCATCAAGACAAGGTTAGGTTATCAGTGCTGCTGCAACTATGCTCTACACCTGCTGCACTAGTATTTACCTCCTAACAGAAAATGCAAAGTTGGATTCTGGGCAGTGAGCACTTGGCCCTCAGGCCAAGCTACAGCCTTGTACTACAGGAACTAACTCTGCTTGTAGCTAGTGCACTTGCCAAATGCAAGCAGACCAAAGAAGTTGGTTCTCTAGGGGTATTTGTTGGAGATTTGTTGTACAATTTGCCATTTACGCAGGCAAACTCAACCGTTTGTTGTTCTTCCAACTGCATAACAGAGGTACAAGACAATAATTAGTAAAGCGCCACTGTTATTTGCAAATCTCCATTCTAAAATGACCGGTGAAGACTGACCTGATGATGTAGTAGTAAAAGAAGTCCGCATATAGTGCTGTCTGGACCAATCCAGATATCCAAACTGGCAGCTCACATGGGGATATGACAGAGTAGCCCGTAACGGGACACATGGTCATGAGCCATAAAAATAGTAGGAAGCGTTGTAAAAGCAAAAGCATGCATGGAGATGGAAGTAGAGGGCTCACCTATCCATTGCTTGTAGTGTGGCTCAGTAATGTATCGATAAATCCAGTTTAGTATGTAGAAACCTCGATATGCGCTGGAAATTGAAGAATGCAAAACACACAAGATGAATGAATCAATGGCTGTCTCTGGACCACACCCTTCCTTTTGTGCAGACGCAAACGGGTTCCTGGCGTACCCAGAAAGAACGCATACGTACCCCAAAAAGAACACGTACGTACCTCAGAAGAACGCGTACGTACTCTAGAAAAAACGCGTACGTACCTCAGACAGGACGCGTACGTACCCCTGAAAGAACGCGTACGTACCCCAGAAAGAACGCGTACGTACCCCAGACAGAACGCGTACGTACCCAGAAAGAACGCGTACGTACCCCAGAAATAACGCGTACGTACCCCAGAAAGAGCGCGTACGTACCCCAGAAAGAACACGCACGTACCCCAGAAAGAACACGCACGTACCCCAGAAAGAAGACGTAGTTCCCTGTCAGGTTGTCAATGTTCTTGGTCCGCTGAAGAAGCACGAGCTGAGGCATTATCGCCACAGCCTCGAGGTAAATGGAGAACGTCCACAAAACCTGTTACCATCGCGGCTAGGGTTAGACCACAGGATTCACCATTCCTAGGGAAAAACGGGGGCTACCCAGAAATTCGAAGCAACTGAACCGTCCGAAGTCGTCACGAGGGAGGGCAAATGCGCTTACCTCAGTAACGGTGAATTTCCTATTGACCAGCAACGCCAACACAAGGCATGGAATAACGAGGAAGACGTGTCTGAATGTGTCATGCTCCTTGTCGTACTTGTGCTTCACGATCTTGTCGTAGCGCATGTAGTAGACGATCGCGAACGAGCTCGCCAGAAAGATCACTTTCATAACGGAATTGTAGACCGATACGAAAGCGTAGAAGAGGTCTAAATATCTGGTCACGAAAACCATCACGTATAGCTCTTGCGTCTTCAGCGATATTCCTGTTCCCCATAACAGCGAATCACACGAGCACCCGAAGAGAACGCGGATACGGACCATGAGAACCAGTCCACCTCTTCGTGCCACCACTAACGATGAGTACAACACTTACCTGCGCACGACTTCATCGTGATGATCTTCAAGAGGAGGACGACAACACTCAGCAGGTGCGTCATGTCACCCGCAAGCCTAAAGATATTCATGGCTGGCGATTTTTACTGAGCCAAGGAAAGTTGCTTCTCCTAATCGACTATCGCTGCTATGTGCAAGTGCAAAAGTTAGCCGACCAGATGTGTTGATTTTCACATAACCAGAAAAAGAAGCATCTCAGGAAGGAACTGAAGCTGGAGCAGGCCAGTGATTGTCAGATTCCCCCGAGTGAGGAGATCCAAACCAAGAGGAGCACGGAGCGCTGATCCAAGCAATCTGGTCCACCCGTGGTTCAAACAGCTCGGCGCGCTACTGACAGAAAAAGCCGTTCATTCCAGAGAGGAATGAAATCCTTGATAGAGGCAACTCGACATTATTGCACGATCTAAGACTGTATTAAAACAATTACGTTCTGAAGGCCAATATCCCTAGATATAGTCAAAATTAGATTTCTATGCTGAAGGAGCCCATTCACATTGCTTGTACTTCTCCAAATAGCTCAGAAGTCGTTTTCTCTGAAAACACAAAATACCACCAAAACCAAGAAGCATAGGAACCAGGAACAAAAAAATGGATTGAATGAATGATTGCACGCTTGAACGATAGGCAACATAGATCTTGTCCACTGGCATACAGTGATGCTCTAGGATAAAAACTGACCTGTTGACAAGGCAAGCCAATCTTTTTCAGCCGTCCTGATCGGGTTGAAAGTAGTTGCGGCAATGACGAGATTTCGGCAGCCACCTTGTCCGCATTGGCCTCCACCCCTCCCCCTACAGCACGAACAAAGTCGCTCACTGATATTGGGTCTGAGAGGCATGGAGGAGAGAAAAACGAGGAAGAACGAAGTAGAAGTGCAGTGAGATTGTGGTGTGGAGAAACGTCGAGATACGCATAGGGACAGATACGCAGCGATAGATAGAGGTACAAATATATAGACTGGCCAAGAGAGGGTAAGAGGGGGAGGAAGGGAGGGGGGAGAGGGGGGGAGTGGGGGTGGGAGAGGGGGAGAGAGCGAGTGAGAGAGAGAGAGAGAGAGAGAGAGAGAGAGAGAGAGAGGGAGAACAAAAGAACCGAATCCAAGAAGAGGCTGAGACACACGAAAGTGCGGGCACATGCATGGACGCGGGTACTAACTGCTCCAAGGCAACGGAATGGCGAGCTGCCAGAATAAATGTCTTATGACGTGTAGACTACAGGGCGGCACAATGCACCAGCTGCAATGAAGTAATGGGAGAGAACCATCCATTGTAGAAAGGATCAGACAGAAGCAGCACCTCCTGCTTGAAAGTCGAAAAAAAAAGACCGTGCAAATTCACCCTTACCCACAATGGCCACGGAGCACTTCAGAATTACTACAAGGTGGCAGAGTTCTAGCGACCTGGTTTTTCCAGGATGCGGTTCTATTGTTCTAACCTGATTCTCGCCCTTCCGGTTTTTGCTCTAACCCAATTCTCGCCCTCCCGGTTTCTGCTGTAACCCAATTAGTGCGCCAATACGGTTTCTGCTTGTAAAACGGGCAAAGCGAAATGTTCCAACCCGGATTCTTCGTGTCTCATTACCCAAAGCTGCCTCGGGCGGCGAAGCAGACGTGCTGCCTTCTTCAGCAGAATCGTCCGCTGCAGCGGTGTACAGACGGGTCTGCACAAGCGAGAAGTGCCCACCGGCGGGGGGAGCGCCCAAGGGGATCGACGACTTCACCCACGACGCGGAAAAGTGGCACTCGGTCCGCGCACTAGGGTTCACAAATGGTGCGAGAAGCCGCTGCAGCCCCGAAGACCGTGTCGCTGCGACGAAAGTTCTGGTAGCCATGAGAATCTACCTCCGTGAGGGAATGGAAGCGCCACCTGCTGCTGAGGCAGAGCTATTCTCGTAGGTGAAGCCTACTCCGCGGACGAGGCAGCTGGGCTTATTTGCGTCTAGTATCTTTGGGGCGCGTGTGAACTATTTTCAGGTTATGAAAAAAGGTCTAACTTTGAGTGGTTACGAGCTTGTCAATGTCGTCAAGAAGCTTTGGCGAAGGCATGAGAATTTTGGGGGCACGCAAGTGCGTATGTCATATGTGAACTCAACTTGAATCACATGGATGAACGTGAGGGTGCACGTGAGGCGAGTGTATGTTGTTGTAAGGAAATCCCTTTTTCCTTACGTCGCGTCCCTGCTCAACGCGTACACCACTGTAGCACCTCAGTCAGCACCGTTACCACTCGCGACCATCGCATCATTCATCATCCCGCCATTTTCGCACATCGCATCCCGACCTCACGGCTCGGCTGGTAACCCGCGCTCCGGGCCTACGCTTCGACACTTTCCCAACCTCAGTCCCAGGCTCGTCGCGCGACCATTACCGTTACCACTGTAGTTTCGCTATATATTGTTCGCTCATGCCTTCGCTCATTGTATTCTTGCTTCGATAGTGCAATTCTCGTTCGTTCACTCAATTGCACTCGTAACACTTGGTATTCAGAGCCTACGATCTCATCTCGGACCGCATCCACACCTTCGCTTCCCACTATCTCAATTTTTTTGGGGGGGGTAGACGTCTCTCAGCGATACAGCACCGCCGCTCGTAGTGCTCTCTTGCAAGCACGCACGGCCACGACCGAGGCTCTCGCTGAGCTTGCCCGACACCCCCGCCATGGCCGATTTCACGCTCGCCACATTGACGCAAGAGCAATTCGATCGTCTTGTGCGTCAATTGGAGGACTCGGCGCTCGAAATCGCGACTCTCACGGCGGAACGTGACTCCGCCCGTCAACAGTCTACGGTGAACATACCGACGACATCACACGCACCAACACATGCATCTGCACATTCGGATGAGCCGATCGTCATCTCGTCCGGCACACCAACACAACACGACAGCACGGGACAACGCTCAGGCGCAGCCAGTGAAGGCGCCGCCCAGCCGATGCCTGGCATGGGAAGAAACAGGAGCGCACCAAGCCCACGGGAGCCCCGAGAAGCCCGTCGGCACGTGGAGTTTGCGACGACAAGTGGCGAAAACGCCATAATGGCCCCAATGCCGCTCAAGCCGCAACG